AAAGAGAGAAAGAGAGAGAAAAAAGAGGGAGATGTGAATTTAAAAAAGAACCATTAACACACACAAAGCTCAACTCGCTGCTTGCATTGTTACACCAGCGGTTGTGTGCAGAATGCACATATGGTGCTATGTCATGCAAGGTTTCCAACTATGCACATGGGATGCTGTTCCATCTGATTGCATCTTAATACCCTCAGTCCAGTTGTGTGTATATGGGTGTAACTGAGCATCTGTGTAGATGGTGTTTCTAAAGTTTGATAAAAAAAAATGATGCCACTGTCCAGGCATAGAGGGGTGGCCCATCTATGTTATACAAACCCTTTTAAGCTTTAAATGTATTACTCTCATTTGGTGAAGATAACCACAAATGAAAGAAATATTTCAGAGTGCGTTTAACATTTCAAAACATGCAGGCACGAGACAAGCACCAAAGATGTCAGTGTCCCAGCAGCCTCTGTTTGAATTCTCAACGTTCAACTCTCTGAGTCCCCACTGTTGATATTAAAAGAGGCACTGTACGTCATACACAATGAGATGAAAAAAGAAAAGAACAGCCTTTCCTCCCTTTCCCCCCCTCAAGCCCGCTGTCCCTCCTTTCTCACCAGATTATATGGATGTGCCAAGAAGAGGCAGAGAGCGAGCAGGAAAAGAGCAATGGAAAAAGTCACAGCGAATGAGACGAGGGCAGGAGAAAAAGAGAAATATAGACAGAGGAGATAAAATATGAATCCTTTCCACCCTTGTTGCATCTGTGCTCCTCCCCAGCCGTCATAGAGGAAAGCTGGGAGCATCATCGTTTTGATGGATGACTGGGCCTTTACTGGCTGACCCTGGAACTTACACAAGGGACAAGAGGGCAGGAGGCTGAAAGGAAAACAAGAGTGGTTTGTGGATGTGTGTGCTTTTACAGGGCTCTGTGTTACAGTGTACTTTTAAAACACTGCAGGATGGGAATGGCTGCCTCAAGCCTATACTTGTGTGCTCATACACTTGTGTGTGTGTGTGTGTGTGTATGTGTGTGTGTGAGGGTAACAGGGTGGCATTGTGAGATGTTCACCATCGTACAACCACAGGCTTGGAGTTACGCTGCATTTTCCTTCCAACAACAGACTCTGCTGTACATGCTGCATGTTTTTTTTTTTTTTACCATAACCTATCTACATTTATGGAACAAGGGTTTTTAAAACAAATATGCAAATCAAAATTCTACAAGACACAAGTATCACTGGTGTCTCTAACTCCCAGATGTTTAACAGACTGCATGATAAGCTTGAATGACCACCTCCTCTTTCTCTTTCATTATTCCCTCTCAGTCCATCCCATCTCTTAGTCCTCCCACACAAACCCTTCCGTCTTCATATCTTTTATCTTTAGTCTCAGCCCAAATCAGGCAGTTTCATCACCAATGTTATGAGTCTCAAAGCCTCACTGCTAATCGTCAACTTGACAAATTGATAAAGAAGTCATGCCTAGCCAAGACTTTATCTTACACAGGCAGACACTCTTGCTAAGTATGTTTATCTATCCCAGTAATGATCAGGTTTTCGAAAAGTCACATCTGGATAAGCTCTTATATAGGCTTTGAGAAAGCTGAATGTGGTAGCTGTGCGGTTGCAAAAGAACATTTTGCATGTAAACAATGTATTCAAGTTTCTGATCAACATCTGCTATGGTGTGTCATCTTGAGTCATGTGGTAGTTAGCCACAAAAAGAAATAAAAAATATATGATTAACAATGTAGTAATGGTTTACATCATGAAAACACAAAGTCTGGCATTGGTTTAATGGATGATGAAGTGATTTTCTTTTTTCTTTGTTACTGCTGTCTTCCATTAAAATGGGTGATAAGATGTGCCCAGAAAGCCAGACACAAAAGTGACTGAAGGCAATCATTACAGAAGAAAATTGCAGAAATAAACTTTTTAAATTAAATCCATACACAGAAAGATGAACTTTATGTTCCATGTCAACATTGTATCCAAACTATGAGGAAAACTGACGCTGAAACAACTAGTTAATTAATCAATTAGTCACATAAGTCACTTGAAATTAAACTATTCTGTTATGTTTCCAGCCTCCAAGTTCCATTTTTCTTAGCCGTATATGACACTAAACTGAATGTCTTTGGTTTTCGAAAAGGACATTTTGACAAAACTAGAAATGAAAAATGGTGATGGACCTTTTTTATTCTTTTCAGATATTTATAGACCAAACAATCAATCAAAAAATAATCCACAGATTAATCAATCCAAAAAAAAAAAATCAGTGGCTGCAGCCACAATTAAAACCAGAATATGCCTCATAACCAGAATGCTAATGTGCATGTAAACTCACACTGAGAAATACATCGGACCAGTCATAGGGATCACACACACACAGACAGTATGAACACAATCACACAAGCAGTGGGGAAATTATCTGATTTGCCATATGTGGTTTGTGTATACTTGCCAAGTAATACTGGGATGGACAAAAACAGCTGGCCTCATATCAAACCTGCTCCGCAACACCAACACACACTCGTACACTCTCGCACACAGACAGATAAACACACACACTCTCACACACACATACAGTAGGGATGTGATATCAGGAGTGACGTGGTTTGTAAGAGAAAATCAGGTCATTCCGACCCTGCGTGCGCTCGTGTATATACGTATACACAGCATGTGTTCAAAAGATATCTACTGTTCATATAAATATGACTGTTTCTCTTTATGCATCTGTCAGTAGGTGCGTGTGGCTGAGCATATAAGTATATTGAAAAGGACTCACAGTCGGCATCCGCGAGGAACAGGAAACTAAGGAGGAGCAGGCCTGGATTGGCAGAGTGCATCATGGGATATGTCGACACATGCATGCTGTATCCACCGTGAGCTCACTGCCTCACTGAATGACAGGACGATAGAAACAGGCCCTCACAACCTGGAGAGAGAAACAGAAGCAAAAAAGAAAATGCAATCATTAGGCTGTTCCAAAGTCCACATTAAGAGCGTTTCAGATATTATATAGTCTGCACACACCAACACCGACACACAGACTTGAAGTGTGTGAGTTCCCTCTAGGCCTTACACTCCAGTTATGCAGCTGCCTCTCCTCTTCTCGCTTCATTAGGACCATACACTGATCGCCGGAGGTGTGTTTTGGTGCGTGCGTGTCTGTGCGTGCGTGTGAGAGAGTTCACAAAGTAGCTGATGAATTTCAACTTATGGCAAACATTTAGCAATAAAACATCAGTCGGCTTCTAAAGTTCTCTCACTCTCTTTTTTTTTAAATCTCGCAAGAAAGCAACGGCCTCAATTTTTCTGCCTCAGTTTTTATAGTTATACAATCTACAAAGCAGGCTGCACGTCAATACCGGATTTTCTTACAAATGAACGTCAAAAAAAGGCCATGATTTCAGATTGATGAAAAGGAATGAATGGCTTTAAGATGGAGGGGTGGGAGGATGGAGCGAGGGACTGATGGACGATGGGGAGATTAAAGTGGGAGGAGGCTGACTGGTGTTATCTGCTGGCTATGTTGCACACAGTGTTGGGTCAACATACAGCTCAATGTCTCTATCCTCTCATCCTTAGCTCGCTTCCTTCCACTCGAGTCTCTATGTCCCTCCCACTAGTCTTTTCCTTCCTTTTACTCTCCTATCTTTGTCCTCTTTTGCAAAACTCTTACTTCCACTTTTTCTGTTGTTGCAGTTTTTAGTGTCCTAAATACTTGTGTTTCCTTTCTCTTTGACTCCCCTCCCTTCTCATTCATCTTGTCTTCTACTACTCTCTCACAGCATTCTTCTTTCTCCTTTTCATCAGTCAGACTTTTTGCCTTTTCACTCTCCCTGTCCCTCTGTCTGTCTGTTTGCATGTCCCTCTGCCATCTGCAGCGCCTGGTGTGGGTGTCTGGCATTAGAAGAGACAGGCGTCAGTCTGTGTGTCAGAAATCTCACAGCTCAAATCACATGACACAATGAGACGTGGCAGATCACTGCTGCTGTCCACAAACTGACAGTGTTGAGTGAGAGACACTGAAAGTGAGCTGAGAGACGTTTAGCTGTGCAATGTGCATTTTTGCTTGAATGAATGTATAGGCCTGTACTGCATGTGCATGCAGATGGGCTAACCCATGCATAGTGTATATTGCCGCATCGGATGTGCATATGTATATCACCACTGACTGCCTGTGCCAAACTGCTTTTACGTAAGTGTGTGTGTTTGTGCATGCTTGCAGCTGTGTGTTCCTGTGCCGTGCGTACATGCATGTGTTTGTGGGTTTTCCCAAACTGGACAGAGTCATCAGCAGCGGCAGCGGCAGTCTTAATCCCTTCCACTCCTGAACAAGCCATCTGATTAAAAAAAGACAAGGGGGGCAGGGGTAAGAACGCTGGAACCCAGAGCTCTCAGCATCCCTGCAGCCAAGGCAGAAAACAACTAAACCCACAGTGGATTTTCCACTTGGTTTGGTCTGAAACAATTGCTTTGGGATAACCTAGATCTCTCCCTGCACAAATTAAGTCCTCTGCACTGTGATTTACACAACTACAGTAGATATTGCAACTCGGTAATACAGTGTGAAAAGGCGTAACATGCAGGTACCTTGTGTGCCTACCCACAACCCAGGGAAATTACAGTTTTTTGTTTTATTTGTATTTAGTTTTTTGTATTAAATGTTTTTAGTGGGCCATTATCATCTTTTATTTTTGATTTTCTAGAAAATTATGAATTTTTGAAGTTTAGTTTTCTTTTTGTTGTTGTTCAGTGTAAGTGTTACTTTAGTTGTATTTCACAAGTTATCATTTGTATTTGTTAACTAAACTAAACCATATTTGTGCTCGTTTCAGAAAACAATACTTCTAATTTTACAACTCCTATATACTCCACTGTGACCTTAATACTAATGCGAATTTAAATTCATACTGGTAATATAGTCTATTCTCAAAAGTGCATTAATGTGCATATTTGTCTAATTAGGCCACATTTTAGTTGAAAAATGTATACAGATATTAAAAGGTAGATTAAAAGAAAGGCCAAATCTGTCTTGGTGTGTGTTTGTGTGTGTGTGTGTCTGTGTGTGTGGCCACTAATCACTCTGGCTGATTCAATGTCACTGGAAAAGCCTGCATTATTTAGTATCTCACTTCACAGCATGTCACGTTAATTAAAGAGCTAAGATAACAGGGAGAGAGGGGGAGGGAGGGAGACAGATGAAGACAGAGAGAGAGAGATGGGAAAAGGTGTGCAGAGGGAGGAGAAATGAAAGTAGAGTGGTAAACAGAGCTACGAAAACAGAGAAGAAAAGAGATGGGATGGAAAGAAGACGAAAGGAAGATAACCTGAGCCACACACACACACAGAGTCAGGTAGTCACCAGATTGTAATCTGGGTGGCTGTTGTTGCTAGTATTACCGAGGGCCTAACAGAAAGCCTCCCTTGGTGCCTGAGCCTCTGCCGTTGCTGTGGATCACAGTCGGCTCTAAGCCATTCACTTACATTAGTCCCTAACACTCAATTATACACTGCCTGTCTGGCTGGGCCTGCAGTGATCAGTCACACTTATCTATGGGATAACTTCTGACAGAACAAAGACTGACTCAAAGAGTGACAGAATGGCTTATGTTTTTTTTTTTT